TTGTTTCTGATGCCCCTCTTCTAGCCGAGGGGAAATGCTCTTATACCTGGGGGACACAGTGACAAAATTGATTGTCAATCCTGAAATCGACAGATCTTGAGCACTATAAACATCACCTTGAAGAAACGCGAGCTCATTCGACTGCCAGATGGGATATGTGCGCGACTTCAGTCTGTCGTTTTCGCAGACAGACGTTACCATCAGGGAGCGTTCCAACACTACCAAGGAGGTATGTTGATTATTTCAGCAACTTCGAGTCATACTTTCCATGATAATGATGAGAAAATCAGAAAATAAACCGAACACTTTCAGGAAAGACTAGAAGAATGGTGGACGGCGAAGACCGGTTGAAGGTGTGACTTTGTTCAATGCCTCAATACAACCGACACGTTTCACCCGTCTCAAACATGGGCAAGAGAAACTGCAGCTCATCACAGCCCTTGAGTCTCTTTCTAATTCTTGGACAGATTTTCTAGTTGAGGAGTCCGATTTCAATCTATACCAGATATCATGGGGGTGATGGTCGGGTTCCGAAAACAGACATGTGGTCGAAGCTAACTCAGACTATGTTGCTGCCTTGGAGTTATAAAAACTTCACCAAAGGTCTCGGACATAACATCCCAAGCACACAATAGGAAAGAACTGGTGTCGCAATGAGCCTGGTCATTCATTTCTAGGTTCTCGCCCATCAAGAGGAGAGGCGCTCGTATAATTATGTAGGATGCCACCGCTGTCAAACCAGGCATTTCGCTCGTTCTCAGAGCTCTATTCAAGTGTAAAAAAAAACACCCAAGAGATCTTAGGTTGAATAAGCGTCTGGCAATTACCAAGGATGGTGAGGGTTCTAGGGTTCTGAGACTCACGACACAGCGAATTTCGACTTATGTTACATGGAAGAGACTGTCACTGGTAGGCCGACTTTGCGAAGATCCTTCGCTCCCCAATCTACACACAGAACCATCTTGTCCTCGTATCCTCCAACCTTGGTCTCTCCTGGACTTTCACTTTAAACCCGCCTGATGAAAGCAGGGCCCTCGAAGTACGTCTGACTTACCGTGCAGCTGCGGGAAGGGTTTACGGGGCGCTTGAGCTCACCGGTTCATGGATCGTAGCAAGACTAACCATTCTATATTAATCGTACTTGTCGTTATCTTAGGACTAGCCAATGGTCTGGGGACGGTGCGTTCGAACTTCATTAACATTCCTGACGTAGATGGTCGGTTCTACCACCAGCAGTTGGAAGACTCCAGAGTTCATCTGGACTGTGTCCTATCGCGCCGAATACACGTAGACAATACTGCCAAGGAAACGACGAAGAAGCGCTCCAGAAGTGAGCAAATTCAACTTTTGGAACTACGTGTACCAGTGCCAGAGAGTCTGTTTCTCTGATGCAAGATAGCATCGGAGCACCCAATCTCGCGACATTTGTTGGGAGCGGTACCACTCTAGACATGGCGATCTAATTTCCTGAATGAAGAAGCGCAGCTGCTAATGCATTAAATAGTCTAGTTCCCCTAGAGCTGTGAATGCCTGAAGGACGACCCAGGTCTTCCTACCGGGACCACGAATTGGTTGACGCTGTGGCTTCTGCTTCGCAGAGCTCTCGACTTGACATTGCGCCAAGTGCCGATCAACCCACACACGATCGAGCTCCTTCATCATCTACCAGATATAAATACACCGATACCTGAGATTAACTTAATCTCCATGAGACAAAATCATCTCCAATACATCCATTCTGAGATCTGGCGCATGCCATTAGATCATGCTTCGGGACCATGCGCGGGCATGTTTCGGCCTTGCTGGCCGTGTCAACTAACCATTTCTTGATTGAGACGCATGCCGTCCTTTGACAATATGAAAGAGGAAAGAATACACTGGAACGAGCAGAGACGCCTAACAGAGATAAGTGGGGTACGCAATTCTAATGGTCTACCAGATGAGCAGCAGCTCCCTCAACACCGTCGTACGAAGCTTCGCGCTGGCTATCACGCAAAGAAGATTCCGACTGCCACCCGACTTATCGCGTTGCCGTATGTATTAAACCAAAGACGTCCCTTATCTATCCTTGAAGCCTCGTTCGGCGCGAAGCCCACAGCGTCAATACCGAGGAACCGCAAAACGGTATGGCGCGAAAGTGTCTCAAGCAGCCAGTCGATCCGTAGCGCTGGAATCGTCACACGAGGAAACAGCCCCATCCGAAGAACGAGTGGCTCAGCGTGTCACAAGGAACAGGCAGATATCAACGGTCAACGACTGGTTACGAGAGCACGCGGCAACAACTCAATATGATTACACTGAGGACAGGCTGGATCCTCCATCGACTAGGGGAAATCACGAACAAATCTAGCCCATAGACCATCGTTGCTCACGTTCGTAGCTTCGTCTCCCTTTCCCACCAAATACAAGAGCAATACCATTTTTCGCATGCAACTCGAGACCCGCGGATACTTTTTAGGGGTGGGCATACACACAAACAAAACAGAAGATCAGGCGCGGAGAAAAACAAAAGCAGACCAACAGAAGCATTGAAAAGCCGAAAACGCCCAGCCAAATGCCATTGGGATAGCGTGAGGGGAAAGAGAAGGAGAAAAAATGACAAAAAAGGCTATTGCCCACATCCACACCATCTCTTCCCATCGCCCGAATCGATCGACTCATACGCCTTCGATTAATCGGTGAACTGAGCCCGCGTGGGTAGGAAATCGGTGAGTGACGGCGAGCGGGGTATCTAGCTGACGAGGCCCTTCTTGCTCTGTGTTACGGGCACAACGTCGCGGTCAGCGGCCAGTTCTTCTTTACCCATCACAATTTTTTCTTCCTCCTTGTCCAATCACTTGCCGCAAGCGCGGTGTCGCATGCCACCAAGACCATCCATACACTCGAGGAATCATTCCAACAAAAGCCTGAATCCCGTCTAAGGTATGCGGACGAGTGAGCGACGTACCAGGTAATCCCAAAGCTGCTTGGTCATCGAGTCCGACATGGTGTACAAGTCAATCGAAAACTCGCCCGCTAGAATCAACGTCAGTCCACGGGTCTCGCGTCACACTATGTAGAAAAAGCCGAATCCGCGGCACGCCCAATCTCCAACGCAAGGAAAACTGACCAGCCATGAGATTCGTAGTAGGGGAAGCAGGCATAAGCTCACCATCAACATCGCTCTTGATGTATGTGTCCGCGGTCTTGTTGTCGTTAATAATCTGGATGACGCGGAGCAAGTCGTCCTCCTCAAGCTTCTCGAGAGCCTGTGCGATCTTCTCGTAGTCGTACTTCTGGCTGCCCTTCTTGCCAGCACCGCCCTTCTTCTTCAGGCGATCGTCGTCCGACGGGAGAGGACCCGTCTCGCGCAGGATCTGCTGAAGCGCCTGAGATGGGTTCTTGAAGGAGACGGTGTGTACGGCCTCGTAGCGGTTCTTGGCGAAGTTCAGGTCGTGCTGGATGGACTGCTTGGACTTCTCCGTGATGTAACAATCGATCGTCATGTCGAATTCACCCCATCCTTCGTTCTCGCACTTGAAAGGGGCCTTGTTGAAGGCTGGAAGAAAGCAGGGTCAGCGAGATTGCTGAGATGTAGGGAACGCGCAAACGCGTCGGGTTGCCACGTACTCTGTGTTGGGTTCTCGAACGAAGGGTGAAGGTTGTAGACGACCTTCTGGAAGCAGTCGGCCGGGTGGTCCTCGCCGTCCTCGCCGATGACGTACAGAACGATATTCCATTTTCGCATGGGGAAATCCTCGACCGGAGAGGGCTTGTCGCTATAGGGCAAACTCGATGTTAGCTTTCCAACTCGTACCGGCAAGGAAGGAGCTTCTCGGGCGCGACTTACATGATGTTTTGCTCGGTGACGAGCTTGACTTTTCGCTGTGTCATCGAGTTAGTCGTGAGAATCGGGCTTTCGGCGGCCTTGGAAGGCGCCTTCTTCCTGCCATTAAGCTTCTTCTGGGCCATGGCAGCGGTTGTGATGCTGCCCAGATGGAGGCAGAGTTTGTGGCGACAGAAGAGAAGGAATTGGCGATGGAAGAGTACAGGATCGACTACGGGACTATTATAGTAGAGGAAGGAAGGACTAGGAGGAGGAACATCGTGGGGGTGGCAGGGAGCGCAAGCTGTCGAGTGCCGCGCAGTGAATAGGGATTGATCATGATGCTGTCGGGCCTACTCGCGACAAGACGCGCCAACAGGGCAAAGCTAGAAGAACAGCTGTTCTTACCTCTACAATCATTATGGGCAACTGGCGAAGCGCTAATCGTACTTGTAGCTGTATGTGGTGTTTGAGCGGGGTTTGAACGTGCGGCGGGAGGCAGAGTTGGGTGTGTGAAGTTCACCAGATTGGGATTTGGAGGTTTGGGAACTGGAAGGCTGAGAGCCGACGCTCGGGCCACACATGCACCCCCCAGGGTGTGTGGCTGGCTGGAATCCTCACCGCGCAACGTGAACCGTGACCGTGAACCGTGTTGCGGGGAAGCAAGGACTTTAATTGAATGCTCATACAACATCCTTTTTGAATGCCATCAAAGACAAAGCAGCTGTAGCACAGATGATTTCTATGTTGCACAATGTCATCCGCTTCAGGAGGGTTGCTTTGCCCAGGTGCTCAGATCATCACCACACACGCAAGCACAAAGCTCTCTCAAAAATGGGGTGAAGGGGGTATGATTTTGCCTGTCTATTTACTGCCAGCGCATCTAATCAAATGGGGAGGGACTTGATTCTTTGTTGATTTGTGCTGTGTAATGTCTTCTTCCTAAGCCTTGATGCTATTCTTCCACCGCTCGACTGCTTGAAAACAAACACCACTCGGTGCAGGTTTTGTTGCACTCTCCAACTATTCATGATCCTGCCTGCCTCTTATCGCATGGGGTGTGTAAAAACAATGGTGCGGGGATCGTGATTCTTTTTGTGGTGGGCAGTTCGCTCCCCTTGGGCTCATGGCCCAAACAGACCGACTCTCCATCCTCGTCTTCATGCAGGCATCATGGGGATATCAGTAAGTCTCTTTAAGACTCCTCGACGGCAGGGGCAGGGGCATCAGAGCCCTCAGCAGCCTTGTTGAAAAGCTCCTCGTTGTCCTTCTGGGCCTTGAGGAAGGCGTCCTTGAAAAGGTTGGCGTCTTTTCGTGGTCAGCATCCCGTATCAAAACCTGGCGGAAAATCATAGACGTACTCTCAGAGTTGGCAAAGCGAATGGCCAGGGTGACGGCCTCGGCCTCACCCTCGCTGACATCGGCGGCGGCGTTCCAGACCCAGCTGCGGTCAGAGCCGACGTTGGGGGAAAGCTTCATCTCAGGGACGACTGCTAAGGGTCAGCGGCTGCGATCGAAGAAAAAGGTAGTTGATGAAACGCACTGTAGTGGTTGGCGCAGACCTTGAGAGTCTTGTCACGGCGCATGACGAGACGGGTCTTGCCGTTCTCCTTGTGCTTCAACAGACGAACATCACCAGTACCACGCTCCTTCCACTCAGTCGTCTCCTTGACGAACTTGAACAACTTGGCGCGCATCTTGAAGAGCTGCTCCTCAGCCTCCTCGTTGGTGGCAGTCTCAACCTTCTCGGTCAGCTTGATGACGGGCTCGAAGTGGACATCCTCGGACTCAGGAGCCTCCTCCTCCTACGAAGAAAGGTCAGTATGAGGTTGTTTCGAGCAGCGAATGAAAGCCATAGATGGGGTTCAGGTGTACCTCGCCCTTCCCAGCAGCGGCGGCATCGCGCTGAGCCTTGGCGCTGCCGGAGTTGTCGCCGCGGTCCTCATCCTCCTTCTTCTCCTTCTTGGCGCCACCTCCGAACATGGAAAAGACGGAAGAGGAGGTAACGGGCTTCTCAGCCTCACCAGTGGTCTGCGACGCGAACCGAGTGTTAGCCATCCGGAGTATTCAAGTGTTATCGCAGGTCGACGGCGAACGACTGGGAGCAATCGCATCGCATGTTGGGGTAAGGGGGGCGGTGAGCTTTAGCTCTTGTAGCAGAGACGAGCGATCATCGGCGCGCATGCGACAAAGGGGCGTCGTACCTCGGTGGGCTTGGTCTCCTCGGTCTTGGGCTCGGTAGCTTCGGCGGCAGACATTCTGGCGGTTCGTGGAGAAATAATGTGCGGGAGAGGTGACGATGTTTGGGCCTGTAGACGGGGGTGGAAACATTAGCATATGAAAACTTCACCTGCGCCGGTCTGCCCCTCCTTGACTCAGAGCGGGAGCATCGCAGGCTCGTCATCAAGCCCAAGGGATACAAACTGCAGGGGATCAGGGCTAAGGGCATCAAACTTACCAGGGCTAGTAGCGGTATGTTCTGCAGCAAGCAAAGCGGTAAAGGGGGGAAGCAAAAAGATGAATTTGTTTCTTCAGTGGTATGGTGAAGTTGGGTGGGTTGAACAAAATGAGGAAAGACAGCCCCTCATTCAAAAGTCAACAACAAGAGGGGTGTCGGGCGGGCCTGCCCTTGCTGTTTAGGTGCCCAGGCGCCTGTCATCCTGCTGCTTCAAGGTACCCCACCAGCAAAATCATCGCGGGGTGTACTTCCCGGTGCTGACCTACGTAGTGGGGTCCTACCTAAGCCAAAGCCCAAAGCTGCTACTGCGCGTCCAATCAGCAAGCCCGCTTTCTTCGCCACCGGGGACTCCTTGAATTCGACGAGAGAATGTCGACGCTATCTCGACCGTCGGCCGGGCCTATCCGCACTATTGAATGGAATAATCTGCCTGTTGATTACTACGGTTTCTGCCTGCCATTGTTCTTATGGAATCCTTTCCTTGTTCCAGTCACGGATAAACAGAAATCATGACACTTGTGCTGCCATTCTGCGACCAACCAAGCGAAAACCGATTTCTACGCGAGCTTTTCAACTGATCGACACATGGGACAAAGTTGAGACGACAGGAAACTTCACAAACTTCACTCCTCTTGCCATTCTGAAACTTTTTCAACTGTTCCATTTCGCAGAAGCCTGCTAGTACACTACTCTATCGACCTCACTCTTCTCATGAATCCCAGCAACCGCCTGCCTACCTACCTGCGCTTCAGACACATTGGCGATGGATATTTGGAGGTAAGAGCGGAAAGTGATAATAAACATTTCAGGCCGAATAAAGCAAAGATAATCCAGGCCCTGAGGTAATAACATGCCAATAACTCCGGTTCAGTCCGTTCCGTCCCGTGTCCTGTCCTTAGCCGGCGTTCCTAGGTATCCCATGTTCATGCTCATAACCATCAATTAGATCTGCTGTTTGCATTGCTGCGTCCAACGGGAGAAGCCTGATTGACATCTAGCCTCGAGACGCTCCCTCTTCCGACGCGCTCGCATTTCCAAATTCTCTCTTTCCAAGCGCTCTTTGCTGGCAGTCTCAGCTGCAGCCTTCTTGTCAGACATGTACTTCTTGGCTTTGGCGAGATAGGTGTTGTGCTTGTCCGTCTGGTGAGTAATCTTGAGCCAAAGGAGCCATGACTGGATTTGGGCATGTTTGTGCTTGATGTCTACCCAATCCAGGGTGTCCTGCGCTTGGCGAGACTCCCGAACTTGCTGCCAGCTCTCAGTCAAGTATGCAGGGTTCCATGAGGTCTTGAGGTAGTTTGCAGTCTTTGAGGCATCCTCGCCAATTCGGGCGGACACTTCTCTAAGGTCCTCCACAACCGAGTTCTTCAGGGATGCCAGTGTGGCAGCCTGCTCTGCGCCGCGCTGAGCAGCGCTGTAAATGCCGGCAGCGACGGACTTTCCAAAGCCAAGGCACTCCTCGAATGCTGACTTGCCAAAGTCAACGAAGAAGGTCTCGTTGACCTTGGGCTTCCGTGTGGTATTGACGGCGACGGTCACTACGCCATATGCTTCCTTCCTTGGGATCTCGATGATGATGCCCTCATCGGTGGATGAGAACTTGGTCTTAACGGATCTTTCGCCCTTGAGAACATCGATGCTGATGGAATCCTTGGCAAGCCATGAAGTCTTGGTACCCGAGGGAATCCTGACCAGAATCTCGTTGCGGCTGTGCTTGTCTGCTGAACAGACATAGTTCTTTGGAGACTCGGGGAACTTGTCAGCGAAGAAGTCGGCAAGCTCAGCAAATGGTGCAATAGCCGTGCTCCCCTGCGAAGTCTTTGCCTGCGGAACTCTGATCGTTGTTGTTGAGGTGAGGTTGATGGTAATGGTGGAAGTGGATACCGACACTGGAGTAGGAGACACGACAGGGGTAGGGACAGCAGAAGTCGAAACTGCCGGTACGGTTGCGGACGAGCCGGACAGGTGCCAGTTGCCAAGGAGCAGGGCCGTGATGAGGATGACAGAAAGGCCGGAATACTGCGCAACTGACCAGAGGTCGAGGTCTTCTGACTTTGAGACCACATACTGGCGAGCACGGCGGAGCTGCTTCAGTGATTGCGCGTAGAGCTCGGAGCATGCTCCTGTCTGACGCTCATCCTCGGTCTTGTAGAGGCCAGTCAGATAGGCAAGGTTGCGGTTCATCTGACGGGCATCAATCTCTTTGAAAGACTTGAGGTCAATTGGCAGCCTGACAGGGGTAATATCTCGATCAGAGAACTCCACACATCGATGGGGGCCGTGTTGGTTGATCTTGTCGCTCCAGTCCTCGGTGGGCTGCTCCTCAAAAAGCTCGGTGCTCGAAATGAACACATGAGGAATTGCATGTCGCTGCACAAACCCCCAAGTTACCGCGCGAGCCTGGCGAACAGCCTCATCGTCGTTCTCCGTGACAAAGAAGACGGCCAGATGGGGAACGGTCCAGTGCGGTGTGATGACGGCACCGCCAGAGGCAAACTCTGAATGGAACGTCCGGTTATTGTCGACAGTGATTGAGTAAACTTGCTCTCCCTGATAGACCGTTTCCATGGCGGCCGTGCAGGTCTTCACCTGCAGGTCCTTGGAGGAAGGATCACATGTATCGCCGGTGATATCATCCTCTTGCGGCGAGGGAGAAGCCGCTAAGGCCGAGGTGAGCTTGTCAGTGATGTCGTTCTTAGCCGAAGGGTCGCCCTGATATAAGATCCGAAGAGGGCCCTTGTTGAGCAGATATGACTGAGCCATGACCTGAATAACAGAAACAGAGCAAAGAGGGTTCGGCTCTTGGAAATAGTGTGTGACATGGTTGTGGGTGATGTTCTCTGTGTTGGGGGCGCTGGAAATACTCTGACGCTCCAGGGGAGGCGTAGGCACCCGAGAAGACGGATTCATGAGGCTCTGCTCCGCGTACTGAATCGAGGAAGCTCTTGATCGATCCTCGGCAGCATCGTCCTCATTATCCGAATCCATGTCAGAGCGACTGGCAGTGTCATCGGTACGCTCGATGCCGTCGAGACTATGGACATCATCAGGTCGAGCGTAGTCGAAGGAGCTCAGAGACTCAGCCTCAGTCTCAACCTCAGTTCCTCTATCATCCTGGCTCTCAAGATCGTCGTCTGTATTGATGAACTCGAAGGAAGACTCGGCCAAGTGGTCGTCGTCGGTTGCGTCGGAGGGGTTCATGATGTCGGGCTCGCTAGAAGAGATCCAGCTAGCTAGATGGCGGTTGCCTTGTGGGCGGGGGAAGCGCAGAGTCAACTCGGAGGAGGACAGCGTCGTAGAGCTTGCAGGATCGGATGTGGTGTCGACGTCTCGGAGGGGATCGCCGGCGTGCTGCTCTTCCATAACGAAGATGCAAAGAGTCAGTTTTACTGGTATCCCGTCATGCCTCGAAAAGTCGAGCGTTCGTTCGTAATAGTGAGGTCTGGAAGTCGGCGAGAGTGCGCGGTGGGAGTTGTGTGGTAGGGGTGGTGGAGGATGGAGGGGTAAATGCGGGAGAGATGTGGATGGTGTCAAGTGACGGACGGGCTGACGCAGCACGAATGTCGGGGGCGTTTCTAGACGAAAAGGACGTCTGGAAAGCTGAAAACTTTGACGAGCGTCGTTGAGTATGTGTAGAGAAGGAAAAGAAGAGAAATTAACTAACTCTGGGGTGGCTTTGGAGAAGTGAAGTTGTCCTAGGTTTAACGTGTGAATGGGTTGTCGTCAATCAAGGTAGGTGCTGCCTGCCTTACCGAGATTCTGAGGGGCGGCGCTGCGTGTTGCCTGCCTTACGGTACCTAGTTAGCCCAGCCAGCCAGTAGACCATCAGGTCGCTTTAGGTAGGTAGGCGGGGTGGGGATTTGGGAGGAAGGGATAGGGATGGGATGAGATGTGAGAGCGGTCGGTTTATCGGAGCGCAGGTGTCGGTGACTTCCAAACGTCACGCGGATGCCGCTATCTGGACGTAGGAGCATAGATAAGAGGTGAGGTATTCGATACTAACCAGGGCAGGGGTTGGCGCCGTCAAAGCGTCCTGGGCCGGGCTGGGCTGCTTGTCTTGCGGTGAAAAGTGGTCGCTAGAACCTATTATTTTTCAGGAAGGAGAGGATGCGTTGTGGAAGGAAGAAGAGAGGCAAGAGCAGACGGAGAAGCTGAAAATGTATGTGTGGAAAGAAGGTGCAGTGGTCGGCGCCTGCAAAGGTGGATGTGGACATGGATAGGTAGGTAGGTGGCAGATGCGCAATTACTGGAAGGGACGGGAAGGTGTGGAGAGAAATAGGCATGGAGAGACATGTAGGCGCACCATCAAAGACCAGGGAAAGGCGACCAGTAGGGCGGCACGATCAGGCAAAAGGGAAGGAAAGAGGCAGGCTATGGCGGAATACGCGGGCAGGTGCTACCACAAGGAAATGGAACTGTCTGCCTTCCATTTCTTTGCTTGCCGTGGTCGCTTCTTTTCATCTGGAGATGTATGCGAATGCACACTTGACACTCGAGATAATGCACCGACCAGCATCGCTGACTTGCGCCTACCTTTTGGTGCCCCTTCCTGCCTCGAAATGAGTCTTACATCTGCCCGCCGCCTACCATGTGGTTTGGGTGGTGGGGGCGGGGTTCTTTTGCCAAAAGTCAAGTCGCCAGATATGCTCCTTCATTCCGCTCTGCAGGACATGCCCATGGGTATTTGAGCCCTTTTGACGCGGAGAACCTGCACCGCTACGTCTCTCATGTTCAAATGGAATGTCACTGTCAACTGGGCCGCCCACTTGGCCGGCATCATCGCGCCTCTTATCGATAACGGACAGGGGCATTTGGAGGGGAAAGCCAGCTCCAAATGCACCATTACGACCCGATATAGTGGGGCCATCCACCATCACCCCGCCTGGAACCGCTCATTAGCACCAACCTACCTTACCAATCTGAGGCAAATAGGTATCGTGACCCGGAGAGGGATCCGCACCTCTCCCGACATCACCTCTTGGCCGTGAACGAGGCACGCCAGATGTCGTGATTGCTCTGTTCTTCGCGAAGGAGCTTTCGCACGAGAGAGGAGTCACTTGTTGAGCTGCGAAAGCAGACAACGCCCGTTTTCGCCCGTCCACAGACCCGCCTGTCAGCCATCGTCGTCTGCCGCTTCAGGCTCAAAATCCCGCCGACCCCTCGAGCTGAGGCAAGGTACCAACCTAAAGTTCAGGTCATCCAATGTGAACGGCGCAAGTCACCATGGGCCGCCAATGCTCGGCCACCCAGCTCGCCACGTAAGGCATTACGGATCCCTCAAATGTGCAGAATAAGCAAACGAGCCGATACAAAAGGTGCAAGAGTCAGTGCCATTCGCCGGTCTGCAAGCTGGTAAGCACAGAGCGGCTTCCAATTCAATATTTCAAATGTCTCACCTGCCGCCGTCATCCTGTTTCTGATCGAGGCTACGAGTCCTGCGACATGTCTGGGGTTCAGGGCCGAGGTCTTGACTCATGTGGCTTGACCACATCGGCGTGTGGCGGTGCGCCTCCGACTTCTTCCCGCATGTAAGTGGAGCTCATACACGAACTTCACAAGCAAGGTCGTTGTCATTGTTACTAACATGAACTTGAATATATGGCCGGCCGATGTGTTCACAAACAGAGTAGTCTCGTGCTTGGAAATTTCCGACAAATCTTCGTACCGCTACCTTGCACGTGTTTACCCACTGACGATGGCAACATTTGACTTCGACCTCCACTCTTCCAAATGATGTGGTCAAACAGAGAGCTTACAGCGTTGGGTGCGTAGCATTTGAAAGCTGCAGGAACAACCTCCAGAATGTGGAAAAGCCAGCTGCGGCGCAACGTACGAACTGAAGCGAGAGGTCTTCTGCAGTTCCACCGTCCATGGCTGTTGTGTATGAGAGTCGAAGGAAGTTTCTTTTGAGCATATGATGGCAGCGCATCACATTGCGCCTGAAGCCCTGAAACTTATAGACCAACTACGGAGAATACTCCGAGCGCGAATAACTGACGATATGGGACAGTGCAGAAGGGCGGCGGCATGACAACCCAGAACGCGAGGACGAAAGCAAGGACGATTGCCATCAAGGCGTATCGTGCCCACGTGGTCGACCTGCTCGTGCAGAGTTCGGATTGCAACACGGTCTGTAACTTCCCTATCCGAGCCTGTCCCCAAAGCTCACATTCTGACAACACGAGATAGTCCGCGCGACACCTCGATGTTCGAGATGCCCAACTAGAAGAAGCTCGATAAGTGCCGCTTGCCAATCAGCCATTCCTGGCATCATCAAAGAGCCAACACGACCACGCTGAGATCAGTCAACGCGTTGCCGTGCTCCAGCCTTCAAAGACCGAGATGCTCGACGACAAGAGTCCAAGAGTTGTGCGCTCCATCCCCAATCGCGGCTAGTCGTTGGGAAAAGAATCGTCCCCGGGCTTCCAGAATCAAACGGGCCGACGAAAAGGTACGCGAAAAAGCCAGAACGCGCCATCACGAGAGCACCGCGGAGTGGCCTGATGGAGGGTCTCTACTGCTGCACTAAACCACACAGACCGTGCCATCAATACGACGATGGGGTACAATCGCACACAAAATACCAACCCCGATTGAAGGTGAGCGGAGCCTTGCAACACCCGAGACGCTCGCAAACAACGGGGTAAGTGATCTCAAGATCTCGCCCCCTCCGTGCGGCCGGAACAGCTACCCGAGATCAAAAGAAAACGAGTGAATCAATCCTGCTATTTCCGTAGCCAGAAACTCGAACCGAGTGGGCAACTGGTAAGCTTGCGTGTGATTCACCCTGATGGTGGAACACTCAGACCCTCCCTGGCTCGGCAGATCATACAGACTAGTTCCATCTTTAGCCCCCAAAAAGACAAGGGGCCAAAAAAGATCAAACAATTAAACCAGATAAAAAAGAATCTCTCCATCTCCAATCTGGGTAATCTCCAATTTGCTGGCTCTAAAAAGAAACCGAGTTCCCTGTCCTTGCCCGGCGCGCGGAAAAGCCCTTGCTAGCTCCCAGCCTTGCCAAACGGCCGACCTCTTTTGCTCAAATTTCACCGAGGCTGTCGTGAGATTACACGTCCGAATGGGGGCAAGTTGATCAGAGAACGACCTGACCCCAGTGGACGAAACTTTCTGAAAAGAGAGGATAGAAAAGATTTGACTCAGGCGGCACGCGCTCCCAGCCGAACAGGCACACGGATCTCCAAAGACATGGTCCCAAAGAGAGCATATCATCCGCGCCCTTCATTTGCCGTAATGACCAGAATAAGTCAATATGCCACATCAAGCCCCCCAAAAACAAAATCACCGCTGCGGTTCCTAGCCCGCGCTAGCTTGTGATACGAAACGTCAGTTTGCCTTGCTAGACTCTCAAGTCAGCGCCTCTGTGAACCTAATCCTTCCGTCGCCTTACCTGGGCCGAAAGTGGCATAGAACTCGCTCTGGCAGGATCAGAGACGTGAGCAATGCTGGAGCAATGGGAGCGAAGATGAAGAAATGAAGTCGCCGTGGGACTTGTATTCTACAAAGTATCGTCTCGAATCCAAATGTACAATGCTGCGCGGAGATGATGCATGTCCTCTTCGTTTTTTCTTCCCAAATTCCCCAAAGTCCCACCCGCCAAAAGAAACCGTGTCCCAGCCGAGGTATTTCCCGTACGGTTACCACAGAAAACTTTTTTTCCTCCGCCTCTGATATTAGAACGTGCAGGGGGCATGGTCCGTCACCGAGAGACATCTCTCCCAAAAACTCCGTTTTTGCTCTCTGCCACAATGGAAAAAATGATGAAGCAGTGGAGAGAGAAGCAACCGCCTAGAAAAGCAATGAAGAAATGGACATAAAAGGGGACCGTGATGCTCGCGAATATGTGGGCGCGCTGCAAAAATGGGGGGTATCGTAGCATAGAGAGAAGACGTGAAGATGTTGTGAGTTGTTGCCTCGTTATGTGCCTCGTTGGCCAGCCACCGCAGGGGGAGAGCTCATAGGATGCTGTGCTTTTCAAAGAGCCGTGCCAGGGTGTCAGTGCCGAACGCCTCATCATCAGGGATCATCTCAATGATGCCCGTCAGGTTGGCAAACATGTCACCCTGGTTGCGGTAGGCCAGGATGGAGGGCACAGCAGCGTTGTCGAACTCGATGTCGAGGTAGTGAACCTTGACGAAGTGTATTGTTGAGTGCTGGGAGACAAGGGGCATCATTGCGTGCTCTATCGTTGCTGATACATCGCACTAGGCTGGGTGTTAGAACCTGTCTGAACATGCTCAGGAATACTTTGAAGCTTACCTCGGGGTCGTATACAAAGACGACAACCACGGTGTCCCGCGCAACCTTCTCAATAGCGTCCAGGTAACCCAGAGCGTCGACCTCGTCCATGCGGCCATAGATGCGGACACTGGGACTTGTCCTCCGGTTTCTGACAACCTTGCTGGACTCGCTCTCAAGTTCTCTCCTTCTGCTCTCGCGCCATTGCGCCAAGAAGCTCTCCTCATCTTCCGAGTTGCTGTTGTTTCCATCGTCGGTGCCGCTCTCGCTCTTGCGCGAAGACTGGGATTGCGAAATGCCATCGAGGCCAAAGATGGAGCGGCGCACAGTGGTGCGAGCACGGCTCATGAAGGAGGTCTTGCGGGCGTTCTCGTAGTTGCGGGCATCGGCGATGACGCCCTTGACTCCGGTGGTACGGCCGGCATCGAAGCTGGCGGGAGGCAGCTTCAGGTCGGAGCCGGTCTGGCCTAGGGTTGGAATGCGCATGGCGGCGTCGATCTGGGAGTTGCGGAAGACGTCCTCTTCGTCGAGGTCAAGGCTGTCGCGGTCGTTGCTGCGGTCCTCTGGGTGTACTCTGCTGGTATCGCGAGACTGGGCAGCTAGCAGGGCGTTGAATTCTTCTTGGGCTGGGGTAGGGTTCGACATCGTGGACTTTTGAAAGGGTCGTGGCCGGGTGAGGAAGCTCGGTTTATGTATGGGATGACGGACGGACGAGCGGGCGGGCGTGTGGTAAGAGAAGAGGAGGTGGTAGGGGGTGGTTGTCAAGGTCCAAGGAGGAGTAAACAAGCAAGCAGGCAAGCAGGTAGTGTGAAGGTGCCAATCGTGCGACCTTGGAGCTTGGAAGGGTGTGCCCGGTTGCTTCTGTCAGGGCGGCTAGTAGAGGGCAAAGCCGGAAGAGAGGTAGAGCCAGGAATGTGAATGGACGGTAGGGTAGGGTGAAGGGTGGTTGAGCTTTGGTTTTGGAGGGGGAAGAGCGAGGAGGGAGGGCTGCGAGAGGCGTGGTTTCTGGATTCTTGTGGGAGAGAAGTGGGCGTGGGAGCATGAGGAGACGAAGGACGGATCGGAAGGATGGTGGTCCTTCGATGGTTTTTCTCGAAGCAGTGGAGACGCGACCAGGGGTCAACCCTTGCAGTTGGCCACGATGCGGTGAAAGCCGGGCTCCAACGACGGGCTGTCGTGGTGACTGATGCTGGTGCAGCGAGTGGTGCAGCGGTGCAATGGTGGTGGTGGACTGGTGGTGGTGCTGCTGGCTGGCTGGGCTGGATTTGGACAGGGGCCCGAGTGTCGAGGATCGAGGGTCGAGGGCGAAGCCCCTGGGGTGCGTCAGGCTGTTTCAGAAGGGGTGGAGGCGCGTGGTCGCGAACAGGGGAGACTGGGCGGGAATTGTGGAATGGTGGATGAATCGTTGGGCGAGAGTGGTGAGATGTTAGATGTGGTCGCGGAAAGGAAATCTAGTCCGTCCTGTTAAGACGAGGATGTCTGGCTCTCGTGGTGCATCTCGTCGTTTGCGGGCGCAATTGTCGACGCTGGAACGAGCACCGCAACGCACCACAGCACAGCGGCACGACCGGCTAGTTTCTTCCACCTGGCAGTTACTCAACCAAGACACTCAACCCAGACAGACACATGAAATGCCGAGCGAGATGTGCAGGTGACGGGTCTCGCGCATAAGTGATCGGAGCAAGATAGATTTCGGGACGAGGAGATAAAAAACGGGGGAGGGCTGAGAGAAATGTCCGGGCCCGGGCCCAGGACAGGGAAACCACGGAACGGCGATGACCGTTATTTTGCTGCTGAATCTGATGGAACCTGACCTGCCCTGTTGTCGTCGTCGAATCCGTTTTCCCTTTTGCATCGCCTCGCTCTCTGGCAAGGGCAAAGACGAACTCGGAAGGAGGGCAAATTGCATACGACAGCCAACGGTCATGCACGCGTCTACCTGTGGATCTTGCCCTTTTCCCCCTCTCCTTTCTTTCGTCCTTCGTGATGCACAACAGTGAGTGGTTGAAGGAGTAGGTGCCTGACCGCGCAGGACGCCAACGCAGGAATCAGATCAGAATCAGACTCTTGTCATCATATCGTGCTGATGCTTCTCGTTGGCGAGGCAGGTTGCAAAGTGAAGTGACAGGGCCTGCAGAATCAGCAGCTGCACACCCTCTCGGGCCTTAGTCGTGGTTTCGCCTCTTCCGCTCGCGTGGCCCTGCCGGGATCACAGGGCTTGTCTTGGCTTCTCCCGTCGTCAGGGGCTGCTGGTCTGGGGCCAACCGACCGCTGTCTGCCGATTTCCCCTCCGCCCTTTTCTTCTTCATCCCCTACCCAGGCCCAGGCAAAACCTCGTGCATGTCCAATCACTGCAGCCAGATACCCGTAGGGTCAAGTGCCGTACAGATTCCAAGGCCCGGGACCTTGCAGATGGGCACCGCATTCTGCATGCTTGCTGAGGAGCCGCCTTTGATGCAGAGTATCGTTTTTCTTCTTTTTTCCCCCAAGATACCAAACGGCAAGCAACTTACATGAACCAACTCGTTGCCTTGAGGTCGTTTGGCCAGGATACACAAAGGGTCGTCGTCGCCACAAGAGCAACAGACGCCGACAGCTCCTGTTTGCCCGTGTGTTGGCCTGATGTTCGTATAACCCGACCAACCAGGGCAGAATAAGCTGAAGGTAGGCTCAATTGACTTTGAGCTTTTCTCCTTTTGCTTTTGGGGTGGCAGCTGCGTCAGTTTCTACCATCTTACGTGCTTATGTCTGTTTCGTATTACGGCGTACTTGCTTCCAACTGATTTCACCTCACCTTCTGCCTTTCCATTGTTTACTTTACCTTCCATGTTACTTCAATTCCTTCCTGCCTTCCGTCTGTTTAGAGGTTCCTTCCACAACCCGAAATGCTACCTTACGTATGCATATTGTCCAGTATACATCACCCATAACCATACCTGGAAGGTTGGTCCTGCTGCGTCACCTCTCCTTTCCTCACATAAAGCATTTAATTTACATTCGCACTTGCACTTTGCACTTGCATTTGCGCATCCCCTGCCTCTGGCCTAGTGTCCTATTTCGGTTAGTGACTCACGAGGCGCCCTCCTCCCTCCCTCCGCCTCTCCGTTGGGCCCGGCCATGGCATCCACGCCAGTGCGGGAGGACCCTGCATCATTCGCTGGTGTCTCCCCAAATGGCAACAACAATAGGCCGTTACTATTGTTCTTTCCCAGCAGGCCGCTGCGACATCTGTGGCTGCCCGGCAGTGACGTCCGCACCTTCCGTTTGTGTACCAAACTCCAGATTGCCCTGGAGGGACCTGTCCCTGTTCGCGGCGCTGGGCCAAGACGACGCCTCGGGTGCTTGCACAAGGTGTTGCAAGTCTAAACAACGACACTTCAGGTCTAGGTCTCGGGTTACACCACAATCGTGCATTCGAATCTGAGAACACAAATTCATGTTTCCCAGCTCGATATCCCGTGACACCTGCATCGAATCTTCTACGCATCATGGAAGTCCCGGCCTTATTGCTGGAGCGAGAGCGAAAGCTGGGGCTGGAACACCAACGGCTTCTGTTGCGTCCCCATCTGGCCTCATGCCTTTCGTCAGACAACAACACACGGATGGCCGAATCACCGACTACATCCCTCAATGGAACCACTTCATCGATCGATCCTGGGGAACTCACGACATTCTCCGACCCCACGATGTCCTCCCCTGCTGCACCTCAAGTCGCGGATCGCCCGAGCCGCAACGCTTCACATCGACTGGGAAGATGCTTTACCGCTGCCGGGTGTCAGATCACGACACCAAGTCTCGTGGCGTACCGGCATCATCGATCCTCCACCACCCTGTTTGCCAAACAACAAGGCCCCCGAAACATGGCACAGCGGTCTCATCATCAGCTCCAGAAATCTCTGACAATGACATGCGCTTACCGTCATAATTAGCCCGGTTTGATCATCCGAAAGTCACCGTTGGTGTGTTTGCTTCTCCAGCCATGGCTATGGAGGACACGGCCAAGCCGTCGTGTGACCGCCTTAGTCGGTGCTCTGTCAATGCGGCCAAGTGTGTAAAGACGACAGGCAGACATTTTGCCCATCGTCCATCGCCAATCCGGGGTATGATCGTAACGCGCCCGCCTGCTTCAAGTAATTCCTCAACTGCCTAACTGCTTCCTCAAGTGCAGAAGCCGACTGTGTCAGCTGTCGTCCAAAGCGTTCCTTGAGCGTCGTTCGCCGTTGTAAGGCGGCACTCTCAGACGTACCACTATCTCGGTTTTCGATCGGCGTCCTCACCAAAACCTTTCTGGCATCGTTCGCGAAGTTCTCATGACTATCATCGAATTTTGACACGAGATTTACACAAACATGGCCACCGTCATGCGACGTATTCTCGTGCAAAGTTGTCTCCCAACCATTCGCATGGACAAACGACGTCGTCTACTCCACGGGCATTCACAATGCGAGTCACTCTCTCCACCCCCGGGTACGCCCTTTCATGCCCCCTTACGATTATTCACCGTCGGTAGACGCAGCCGGTGCCGAGAGCCACAACACAACACATCACCGCTTCACGTGGGGCTGAGTCATCGTCTGAACACGAAGAGAAGCACGACTCGCTCACTGCAGGCCTCCACAACTCATACTTTCCAGAGTCGTATCTAGCAGTCCCGACTAAAGGCTGCCAAGTCCAGATGCGCACTCGAAACGGACCTTGGACGAAGTATCCGCCAGCTCCATAGGCGGGGGCTCGTGTGAATAGTTACCGACTACATTTTGGGATACACCATCCCACGGTTCATGACTCCGTTTCACTCCCACGAACCCACCATGACAGAAACGATGTAAACGAAACTTTCAAGGACGAAGGACAAAATAGAGAAAGAAAGCTACGTGGAACAAGTCATGGGAAACCTTGGCCGGACTACGGACTACTCAAATTCCCTTGGCAAATATGCATCGTCGCGATTTGATCGGTTGCTATCGTGAGAAGCAATCGAATGCAAACACACCGCCATCACAACTCTCTTTGCCGTTCATTCGTGTGGCACGTCCGTCCGTCTACGGGATGTGCTTAGTGCGCTCTCGCACGACTGCAGTCTGCATATCGTGATTTGCGTCGGCACTATGCCGCTGCACTCTCATATCCCAAGTCCAACCGCAGAGTCTATAATACCGCTCGAGGAGCCCTGCATGCCCCCGAACGTCTTGATCCATCCAACATTGAGAGGCGGTAAAGATCATGTTCGCATTCCACGCGCCACGTGTGTTGGCAAGATACATACTTCTGTCAAGCACGTTTCTATATCACCATCGCTATGCGGCATACCGGATCGAAGGAAGATTTATGCTGCTCTGCGTCCGCTATGCAAGATGACAGCACAAACTGACGATAATACGTCGCGCAACGTCTCAGCCAACCTATCATCCAACGAAGCCTCGTGGCTGCCAGGGTCAGTGCAGTGGTAGGTGCATCAAGCTTCACAACCGTAACCCAAACCTGCGGCGCCAGCCACGAAGTCTTCCCCCCCTTTTAGCTGTGCTAACTTGCTTAGGTCTTGAACCGCGTCAAAGCTTAGCCAGACAACATGCAACAACCTGCAACCACACGGCCGATCCCTTGCGATCCATTAGAGCGCCGCTACTTAAATAGCACTGGGACCT